GTTGAGGGGATTTTCCTTTAAATTAGACTTTCCTGGGGCTCTGGCATTCTACCATGCTATCACCTATTCTCATGACCCTGGACCAGTTGCTTAACTTCTCTGAGTTGGCTGCTTCCTCCTATCAGCATTGCCCAGAGAAGGCTTTGAGGCAGCCATTTGTGTGATAAGAGGCCCATGTGGCCAAAGAAGTCTGCCTTCTCTCTTGGAGAGTCACAATGAGAGTGCTTTTACAGTTAAGCCTCTGAGGAGTCTCACAGTTAAGAATCTATATGAGTCCCTTATCAGATAAATGATTAGCAAATATTTTTCCCATTCAGTAGTTTTTGTTTTGTTTTGTTTTTCACTTTCTTGATGGTGCCCTTTGAAGCACAATTGTTTTTCATTTGGGGGAAGTCCAGTTTATCTATTTTTTTTCTTTCATCACTTGACCTTTTGGTATTCCTTAGTTCTTTCAATTGCTCTGTAAAGCTTAATATCACTTTGGGTCAAGAGCAGACACTGTTTAGAATAGAATCCATTAGATACCTTTTTTTATGGAAAGTTTTGAGCATGTACGAAAATAAAGAGAATGGTGTAATGAACCCCCGTGTTCCCATCACCCAACTTCAGCCATTTCTTGTCGTGGCCTGTCTTGTTTTGTCTATATCTATTTTCACTTCCATTCATGCCCAGTGAAGTTATTTTGAAGAAGACTGCCGACTTCATATCATTTTGGCCATGAAGAGTTCCATTTGATTCTCTAAAAGATAAAAGAATTTTGTTGCTCAACATAACCACCATACCATTTTACACCCTAAAAAATTGACAATAATTGCTTAGTGTTATAGGATGGACTCTTGCACTTGAGAATTTAAATTAGATCTGGAGGTAAAAATGCCACTTAGAAAATTCAGCTAATATATGACAGTTCTTCAGTTTTCGTAAGTAACCAGTCCTCACAAAGCATTCCACTGCTTTAAAAAAAGGTGTTCCCCAAGAACACCCTTCAGTCCTGTGGGTGTCCTAGGTGTTCTTCCAGCTACAGCTTTCACTTGACCAGGTCTTGTGGTGGAGTTACGGTCATGGCAAACCCTTTTTCCCCCCCTTCAAAACTTCTTTGTCATCTTGTCACGGTGGATATCCGTTTCTAACCTCTCCCCAGTGTATAAAGTGAAAGATTAACTTAGGACTTTTGCCCTCAATTTCTAGTGTAGGGAGAATTGGGGGAAAATCCTGCTCTTATCTGAGATTGCACAAATGTTCAGAGAAACTTGGGAAAATGAGGAGACCTGTCAGCTCATTTTCTCCTCTTTCACCTCTCCAGGGGCCTAAGCCGCATGTCCCCGCATGGCCTGGCTGACTATGCCTGCCCTCAAGGTACAGTACTGGGGGGTTCATAGCAGATGAGCAAAGCTGCTGAGGGAGAAATGGAACATAGGATTTGGAGGCTGACAGATACCATAGTGATAATGACGCTATGAACAGATGCTCAGTAAGAAAGAAAGGCTGTGCTGTTTGAAATGTAGGAGATTTCAGGTTGAACAGTCTTCTTAACTGTGAGACTCCTCACAGGCTTAACAGTAAAGCCCATGCATCGTGAGTCTCCAAGAGAGATGGCAGGCTTCTTTGACCACATGGGCCCCTTATCGCAGAAATGGCTGCCTTGGAACCGTCTCTCGACAGTGCTGATCAAGGTAAGCAGCCATCTCAGAGAAGTTAAGCAATTGATCTCAATTGCTTAGGAGAATAGGTGTAGCACAGGAGAATGCCAGAGCCCCAACAGAGTCTAGTTTAAAGGAAAATCTCCCCTTGGGTAGCGTTACTCACTGAGGTTCCATGGGAAGACCTCTGTCCCTTCAGTCAGAAACCCTAAGTCCGGGGGCGCCTGGGTGGCTCAGTCAGTTAAGTGTCTGACTCAATCTCAGCTCAGGTCATGATCTCAGGGTTGTGAGTTCAAGTCCACATTGGGCTCCGCACTGGGTGTGGAGCTTGCTTTAAAAAAAAAAGAGAGGGGCGCCTGGGTGGCTCAGTCGGTTAAGTACTGGACTTCAGTTCAGGTCATGATCTCACAGTTCGTGGGTTCGAGTCCCAGCTTGGGCTCTGTGCTGACAGCTCATTGCCTGTAGCCTGCTTTCGATTCTATGTCTCCCTCTCTCTCTGCCCCTCCCCTGATTGCACTCCGTCTCTCTGTCTCTCAAAAACAAGTAAATGTTAAAAAGAAAAAAAGAAAGAAAAAGAAAGAAAGAAGGAAGGAAGGAAACTTGAAGGCTGGTCTTAGGTCAGTGCACATTTTCAGACATTCCCTGTATTGTCTGGCAAGTGGGGATAGTAAAAACTGTCTAGCCCTATTTTTTTTTAAATTTTTTTTTTAATGTTTATTTTTGAGACAGAGAGAGACAGAACATGAACGAGGGAGGGTCAGAGAGAGAGGGAGACACAGAATCCGAAGTAGGATCCAGGCTCTGATCTGTCAGCACAGAGCCTGACACGGGGCTCGAACTCACGGACTGTGAGATCATGACCTGAGCCAAAGTCGGCCGCTTAACCGACTGAACCACCCAGGCGCCCCTGTCTAGCCCTATTAACAACTGATGTAAGGAACAACTAAAATGGATGTGAAAGTAGTAGTTTATAAACCTTGAATTCTACAAGGATGATGATTTATTGTGTCTTTCAGCGCTTAGCGCCACCTTTTCTTCAGTATTGAGAACACCTTGTCCGGAATGTGCATCTTGAATAAAGTGAAAGACTTTGGAACAATGGATATAAGTACAAAGATACGGGTGCCTGCTAATTTTTTTCAGGAAGGGCCTGTGGCTTGCACTGACTTTCCTTCTTGCCATGATGGGGGATGCTTTCTCAAAGGCACTTGTAGCTTTTCTCTTCCTAAGCTTTAGGCCTATATTGTAGCACATCTCTGCCTACTTCCGCTTTGCTCTAGTGCTCCATGGTTTGGACCCTTGGGTCAAGGTGGTTTTGAAGTAGAGTCACTTACTATTGTCATCCATGTTGCCTTACTCTCTGTGGCCTGGGAGTACCGGGTTCAGGTGTGGCCTGTGGTCAGGCATTATATGACGAAAGGACCAGAGGATTTATCTGCTGTGATACCCTCTCCAGTTTCACCACCCTTAGTCATCATTTTACTTGGGGCGTGGATATGTATGTTCCAGAAGCTTTTCTACCCCCCTGCAACTTATGGGAGGGATAAATTGTCTCAATGTTTTCTTCTGGTGCTTTTCACCATGAACTCTTAGACCTGGAGTAGATTGGTTATCAAATAGCCTAAGGAGAGAGGAGGTGATATGTAATTTACGTAAGATCCAGGAAATGAAGGAAGACATGTTGCCAGGAGCTGTGTTTCCAGCTAGACCTTAAGTTTCACAATCCTTTATGCAAAAAAGGGGCATCTTTTAGGTGTTGCTTAATGGAATTATCCGGTGAACCGGTGGCAGAACCAGTGACAGAACCAGAAGCCGCTTCAGCCCAGTCCCCCTAATCGAAAAACTAATGGGGTTAGATCACGCCCCAGTTCTATCTTGAGTAAGGGAATTTTGCTTTTGAGATGGCTTAAATGCTTTGAATTCCTCAGCAGAGAAATTATAGATGTACAGATAATGAGACAAAGGGTTTCCCAATCCCTGTGTCCAACCTCATGAGTTTGCAGTCACATCCACATGCTCTCCCCATCTCTTAGCTGTTTATTGGGTTTCCGTGACCAGGAAAATGTCACCCGTGCTACTGTCTGGGGATTCAGCTGTATTAGCTTCATTGTTACAATCTTCTCTTTAGTCATATGTCTATTTATCCATGTACCAGTCTTTTTTGAGGGCCTACTTAGTGCAAGGGATCACTTGGTATTCTGAGGGACACAGAAGTGAAAGACCTCTTGCCTTTAAGTTGCTTCTACTTTAGAGGAGGAGTTAGGCCTGAGAATAAATCATTTTGCTGAGCTTATGAGCACATAAAAGAGTGGGCGGATTTTCCACAACCAAAATGGTCTCTGTTTGGACAGTGCAAATAATCACTCTTACGACCTTGCATCTAGAGGGCCCGATGAGCTACTTCCGGGACTCAGAGTTGAGGTGCCTTTAATAAAAGGACTTTGCTGTTAGCCCTTTCTGTGGACCTGCCACCATTGCAGCCGTGTTCCTGCCTGAAGTGGATCCCATCTCTCTCTGTCTTGCTCAAAGTTGCAACAAAAGGGAAAGATGAAATCAGATTTAGTGGAGACCTTGAAGACTAATTTTCCTAATGGAGTTACATCTGCATGTGATCAGGTACTGGATGTGACCCTTGTCCCTCATTTTGTTCTTATTCCAATCTTCAGTTTAGAGAGCGGTTTGGGAAGAGACATGAAACGTGTTGGGGGGGGGGTGGGTGGGGAGACAGCAGCGAGCCAGAGCGTGCTGATTTGCATGTAATTCTTGGTTCCTTGCTGGTTTAGTTTGGGTTGAACTGTTTTCAGGGCAGGAAAAACGAATCTGGCATTTCGGTACAAAAACAAACAAGGCTGCTGTTGTACTTGATAAAGCTGGAGTTGCAGATCCAGTGGCAGCCCATTAACTCAGTGACAGTGGTGAGTTTCAGAGACCCCTGCACTCTCCGGAGAAGGCAGTAAATGTCCATTTAGGAAGGCAATAAATATTTGTGGAGTGATTGATTGTCAACACAGTAGGATTTGCTTGTTGGGGGGGAGGAAAGCCAGAAACCTTAGGACGCTGTTGTTAAACTGGTTTCAGCTTCTGCTACTTTCTCTCTTTTTTTTTCTCAGACAAGATAGCTGGGTCAGAACTTAACTACCCAGAGGAATTTTCTTGAGATTCCATCATCCCCTTCTGCTTCTTTTATTTCTCTCTCTCTATTTAATAGACCTTTGAAATAGGTATATTCCCTCCACCTCCTCCACCCCCAGAGGGAACAAGAGCAACTCCAAGATGTAAACAAGCAAAAAGAGAGCCTAAGATGCTATGTAAACTAGAAATTCCTGTCCTTGCTGTTCATGGCGCTACCGTAGTCATCAGAAAGAACAAATGTGCTGGTCAGAGGTACTCTGCGAAGACACAGCGTGTGTGGGGCCTCTACCTTCTCCCTCCAGCCACTCTCTGCCCCATCTTGTGCCTTTCTCAGATGCCCCATGTGTCCTTGTTTCCATGTTTTGGGCTATACTTGGCTCTGCTTACCATGCTCCTCTTCCTTACCCCTACTGTACATGTTATTTTAGTACCCAAATCTCTGTCTCTCTCTTCTTTTTTCATGTTTATGTTTGAGAGAAGAGCGTGAGCTGGGGAGGGGTGTGAGCTGGGGAGGGGCGGAGAGCCCCTCCAGGGCCAGACGAGTTCAGCCAAGAGTGCATCCTCCTCATCCCGCTGCGACAGCCAGGGTGGCTGGATGTGACTGTGACTTTCTGGGTCACAAATGAGGTGCAAGTGATGACTACAATATCCAAATACCGTCACCATGCATGTTCAAGCCATTTTTGAGTAACACAGTCCTGGGTGAATTGCTAGCTCCACTGCCTACGAGCTGTGTGTCCTTGAATGAGTTACCTAAGTTCACTGAAGTTCCCGGTTTTCACCTGTAAGGAATGAGATAGCAACATACATTAGAGTATTCCCTCTCTGAAATGTATCATTTGATGTTTAGCAAGTGATTGCATACTATAGTTAAGAGCTGTTTGCCCAGCTGTCTTCCTGGGAAGGCTCTCAATAGTGGGAAAGCAGCCATAGGTTTGTTTTGTTTTGTTTTGTTTTTTAATTTTTTTTTAAGTAGTGTTTATGGCCAGTGTGGGGCTCAAACTCAAGACCCTGAGATCAAGAGTCGCATGCTCTTCCGACTGAACCAGCCAGCCACCCCCACATCCATAGACACCCTACAAGGCACCCCTACAAGCCCTGTGACTTGTAGAACTCCTTGTCCTAGTCAGAAACCAGGAAAGGTGTGTTTTCTTGTCTCAGCAGGCCTGCTACACGTCTGCCTTTGTCCAGCCCCAGGACACAGATAAGCTAATGTTCTTGGTTTCTGGCAGCTAAGCAGTCCTTAGCATTTCTATTTGGCAAAGTTCTGCAAATCTTTGTTTTGGGTTTGGAATGCTTCCCATGGCATTCCCCAAAGTAATTACTTCAGGATCCTTTTACTGATGCCCAGCCTCCCATCCATGACATGCCTTGGTTGGACTTTTCTTGTGGCACTCACATGGTTTAGGCTTGGAGCTTGTATCTGCTTCTGGGGGTTTTGTTGGTTTTGTGCTTTGTTTTGTTTTTTGTTGTTGTTGGGTTTTTGTTGTTGTTGTTGTTGTTTTTGAGTCCAAACTGGAAGGCATTTAAACGTGCCTATGCCCAGCCTGAGAAAGATAAGAATGATCTCTCATCTTAGATGTTCTGTGTCTGCCTAGCAGCCTCTGCTCCAAAGCTCCTGGAAGTAAAAATGGCCTTAGGTCTGGAGATTATCTCCTATCCTAGAAACCTGGCAGTTGTTGTCCTGTTCTGACAAAACCCTTTCTTCACATTCCTTGATTGTGAAATTAGAAACCCCGCACTCTCAGCCCTAGTCTCCTTCAGCCTCATCGGGCCATGACATGGTGTGGGAACAGTTCCCCAGGCTACCTGAGATCCAAGGCATGAAAGGTCTTCTGTTCCACCTTGCTCCTTGCATGGAGCCCATTTGTGTCCTGGGAATGGATGAGAACTTTAGGGCTTTCCCAGTCATTCACCTCCTAGAACTCTGGCTCCAAAGAGGGCCAGAATGGGTGACTGGGGCCTAAGGGCATTGTCCGTGTTCCAGAATACCACTGCCTGAACTGGTGTGTCAGTCTTCTAAAACAAGGTTCTGGGGGTGGGAGGGGGCGGCGCTTGGGTGGCTCAACTTTGGCGTCCCGACTTTGCCTCAGGTCATGATCTGGCAGTTTGTGAGTTCAAGCCCCTTCCTGACAGCTGAGTGCCTGGAGCCTGCTTCGGATTCTGTGTCTCCCTCTTTCTCTGCCCCTCCCTCTCTCACCCTCGCCTTCTCTCTCTCTCTCTCTCTCTCACTCTCTCTCTGTCTCTCAAAAAAACAAACATTAAAAAATTAAAAATAAAATAAAACAAGGTTCTGGGGCACTGACCAGGATCTGCATGTCTGCTCAGTGTTCAGCTGACCCTCAGTTCTGGTGTTTGCCCCATTGGTAACTTTTGGTCTAGTATCACGACTCCTTTATTATTGTCAAGGAAAGAGCCTTTGGAGCTAGAGACTTAATTCAAATCCTTACTCTCTCATGGCCAGCTGTGTGACCTGGGGCAAGGTGTCCATATGGCTCGGCTTCTACAACTGAACAGGGGTAATACCTACATCATAAGTTTATTGTGGTTGTTAAGTGAGATGTGGGTTAAATGGAGTTCTTAGTACAGAGTCTGGCTCATTGTCAGTACTGAAAAAATAGCTCTCCCCACCTCCATCCCAGAATTTAAAGATTATAAATGTATAGGCTGCCTAGAAAAACATTGCCAAAAGATTCCTAAATCAACTGCAGTGAAAGGATGAATTCCATTAGCCATGCGTATATCCACTGTTGTAGTATGTCTTCTTAAATAATAAATTAATCAGAATCCAAAGGGTTTCAGCATTACTATCTTTGGGGGGTTTCTAAATTGAGGAGGAGAATGTTGGTCAGTGGAAGGATGGTGGATGGCTCAGACATTGATTGCTTGGAGCCATTAACAGTTGTTAAACTGCAACATTTTGACAACATAATCCTGCTTAATTCTGGTTAGTGTGACTTCCTTTTTTTTTTTTTTTTT